CCATACGGCGAAACCGTGCCAGGGTTGCAAATTAGGCTCCGCCCCCGACTCCGCCCATTTTTCCTACCAGATGGTGTGCTCTTATCCTCCAGACTACGGTGCGCATGAGGTACGCAAACATCGACACGTAAAGATGCACACAATCTATTTTTTGTTATTTTTTTGCTTTTTTCATAGTTTTTCGATGCAATTTCTCCGATTTTTGTTCCCGATTCATAATATACTTTTATTTGTTCCTGCAAAAATTCTGTTTTTTAATCATTAAACTTTAGGTTTTTATTCTTATAATGTGATATAGGACTTTTTAGGAGATTTCTTCATTTCTTTGCTTCTTTATGGAGGTAAAAACCCTATTATTTAACCTAGCTGAATAGCCTCATTGGACAGCTTGCTTTCATACATTCACTTCTTTCTGAAATTGGGGTTTTTGGGGCATTATAATCGTTTCAAAGCTGTCAACATTGGCCTTTGTTCTTAGTCGTCGGAGAGGATAGAAGTAATAGAGAACACACAAACAGGCATGTTTATATCCAAACAGAAATTTTACATTCGATTGACAATCTCTTTTTCTGTCTCTCTGCCTTTGAGCGCCTCACGTCAGAGACGTCAGGGTCGTGGCGCCCATCTCGAGACATAGACGTCCTCCGCGTACACACACTTGCCTTTCTGTTTCTCTTCTTCTCTCATGTGCCACAACTATCGTCGTCCCCGCGTCCCGGTCTCCTTTTTTTTCTGCCTGTGTGAAGAACGTCGCTCCGAATATTATTGATTCGCTGGCCATTCAGCGCCGTCGTTGTCGGAATCTCTGCAGCATAGAGCGAAAACTAGACTAGCCCTTCTAATTGACTTGGACCCAAATATGATGGTTGAAAAGTAATATTGTTCCTTCAGTTGTTTATAAAAGTTGAACAGTGATGTTACAGCCTGTGTGTGTTTTCCCTTAAATTGTATCAAAATTTGGGTTCAAAATAGTATTGCGTGCAAATATAAGTAGTTCTTATGATAGCATAACAAAGGATTAACACTCGTAGCTCTGGTAATCGGTTTCTAACCAGTTTCGGGCAATTTTCCAACCAGATTCGGAAAGTTTTTATTTTCCGACCAGATCCGGTGATTTCTAACCAGATCTAGCCATTTCTGCTCCGGAATTTTCCCGAATCTGGTTGGAAACCGATTACCAGAGTAGACATCTCTTCTCAGAAGTCGTCTCATTGGAAACGTTAGGTTAGGTCCGAATCCTCTTAAGGAGTACGGTATCGTGTGTTTTGCTTCCAATGAGCTCGAATGTCCGACCACATAGTTTCTCGGGACAGTTTTAAAGATTAGCCATAGACCTGTAGTTTTTCAGATTGCTCTTATTGCTTTTATATGATTTTCCTTCCTGAAAGATAATAATTTTCTTTGATTGAGACCATTCTTTTGCTAGTTTTTCTTAAACAAATGTTTCGAAACAATAGAAATCATTCATTTCGTGAATAACTCGATCCACCCCTACATTCTTCTTAACCATTTTTTTCAACTTAACCTTCCTTTCTTCTCATGAACCCTTTGCTTCGCAAAGTATGTGCTCTACGTCAGTTGTCAACTTCTATCTGTCGGTCAATTTTCAATTTCTGCAGAACATTCAATGTTCTTTTGAAAACTATATGCTCTAAAAAAAGATCCGATGTTATACCTGTATATGAAAGTGTTTGCAATAACGTCTGTAGTAATATTTCGGACGTTTTTACTCACTTAATTCTCCTACTCTAACCTTGAACGCCTTCGTTGTACATGCGACGACAGTTTTTTGCTACTTTTTTATCCCTGTCCTTACCATTCATCGTTTCGGAAACTAATAACTCTTCATACAAATTCGATTTCGTGGGGCTGCTTCGAATGATATCAATATTTCCAAGTTTATTGTTTTCTTAAGATTTACAGGGGACTCCCTGAGAGGAGACTGCACAAATCGGCAAAAACGGATTACTGAGCTCATTTTTGCTGAAATCGCGTGCGCAGGCTGCAAAAGTGGGCGGGATTTATCTTGTGATTTTGTGTTTTAAATCGGCAACACTTCCACTTTTCTCAAGTTATGGATCGTCTGAGTTCCAGTGAATAGTTAGACCAAGACTTCATGATTTTCCCACGATAGGGAGTTTTGGGTTTATACTATGCAGTATCGTAACAAAAATCCTAAAGCAACATCACATTGTGATTCTTTCGTTAGATGTTCATGTTTCGTTCTATCTTATCTCTGCGGGTAAGACAAACGCCGTTTCATAGTAGTTCGTTATCAGTAGTCCGTTTTCATTGATTTTCGTAGCGTTTCGCATCGAAATAATGATTGGAAATCTTTTTGCTACAACATAATATATTATGTCCTAATCAATGTTATCTTTCTATAAATTGTTGGGATTTCAATGGTTTTGGAAGTCGTACGTATAATCTTAATGAAATCGGATTTAATCTGACTACGTAGTTCTAATCTTACCTATGTAATGGCGCGTTCAAAGTTGATTTCCAGGAGTAATTTCCTGGAAAAACGCTGTCCAAAGCTGGCATTGTTTTCCAGAGGCCTCCGCTTCGAGACCCGCCGTAAATCGACATGAATCAACGGGAAGAACACAGTCAAAACGTGTGATACAGTAGTTTACTGTTACTGTAAATCTGTAAAACAATCACAGCTTTGGACAGCGTTTTTCCAGGAAATTACTCATGGAAATCAACTTTGAACGCGGCATAAGAGAACAACACTGGATTCCAGTTGGAGATTAAGTTATACTGCGAATATGAGAAGAAATACGTAGGACGATTTACAGTTTCCTACTTTTAGCTGAATCGTTAGTTGATGATTTTCGAATTCTCTCCTCTTATCTGATTCTCATGCTCAACTTTTTTCTCGTTTTTTCTGTACTTAAATTTTCAGGTAGTTTCGTTTCCAATTTTCCCTCACATATATTCACATTGATTACATCGTCCACTATAGTTTTTGAATCATGGAATACTTTAATACGGGAGGAGGCGGATCTGGAAATGGTACAACTGATCCATATGCAGTAATTCCACAACAGTTCGGAACTGGTGCGCAACAACCACCACAACAGACTGTGGTACGTATTCCTTACTAAATACAAAATGTGTTTTGACGATGTTCATTACACTTTCAATGTTAAAGATAGTGAATGATAGTTTTTCATTTCTGGCCCTTCCGGGAAACCAAAATGAGTATACATCATATTAAATGAAAACAAAGATTTATACTGAACCGAATAATTTGTTTTGCCAGTATTTTCAGTACCCCGAATATCCACAAGAAGGTGTTGTGGATTATGATTCTTATCAGCAGCAGCAGTATAGAGCAGCCCAAGCTTCTCAACAGTCTCCATCGATCTATTACCACAATCAATTAAATCAAGGAAGCTACTTTCCGATTCACTCAGCATCTGATCATGGTGATTACTCGGTTTCTCGTTCGTTTTTGGGGGAAGACGCAGCATTGCATGTGAAAAGAAGTTACCGATCAATTAAGTATAACCGAAAAATTAAAATTCCATCCATGACTTGTAGATGGCTGAAAGTATTGAAAGGAATTGTGTGATTAGTTCTTACAGACTATAAGTTATAGGTATTTAAAGCTAAAAGAAAACATTTCGAATTGTTATTCGGTTTTCAAAAAAAAAACCGAACCGTGGAAGAGAAACGCCGATGGCCGTAGTCGACGGTCCCACAACGAAAACTACCGTAACCTAACTTTTTTTTCCGGATTTACTATCGAAAAAACAAATGAAAAAGCACAAAATGTAGTTGTCGTTGTGCTACCTTCGGCCACGGACACCGGTGTTTCTCTTCCAAAGCTCTGATTTTTTGGACCAGAATGATACAGAAACAAACTTCTATGTTTCTATATCCGTTTTATTTCTGTTACAGAATTTTAAAGAAGAAAGTAGTTCAACAGTATTTAAGTGGTGTCATCTAGAGACAATATTTGTTACAAACCAAGGAAGAGGCTACTGAAAAGTTCTTTAGCTAACTGGCTTATGGGCGTAATAGTTTAAAAATGAGCCTTCGAAATGAGCATTCTGTTAATAAGTTCGTATTTCCTACATGGTAATCTAGTGTCTTCCCCCACCGCATAACAAATTGCTGTCACCTATTATTCTTAACCGTTCCTGGTGAGATTATCTTACAGATTTTCTTGGGCCACAGCAACCGTCAGCTGGTGCAACTTCAAGCAGTGGACAGCAGACTTCTGCGCCGTATCAAAGTAGAACTGGAGCAAACAAAGAATTCATGATTCAACACCAGGTGAGAATATAGAAATAAAATTCGTGAAAATTTTTAGGTTCCAGTACTGCGTATGTGTGAGAGAGAAGTGGAATAGACTGTGAATTCATGTATCTATGTTAATTGTACGCAAATTCAAATTTGGTATGCAAATACCGTTGTACTATTATTCTATTCGCATATTTTTCAGTCTTTTCTGCCCGGGACGACGTATCCATTCTTCGCACATTTTTTACTAACTGAAAATATTACTTTTATGATATAAAGTGTGCGCTTCTCGTAAATCGACACCAACCTCTTCTCCTTCATATTCCTCCTCGTCGTCCCGCTTCTTCATCGTTCTCCTCCTTTCACCCTCGCACGTCTTCTTCCTCTGCATTCTTTCTCGTTTCGCCCGCTCTCCATACACCGCACAGAATTTTGTGTGCTCTTCCGTCTCCTCCACTTCCAACGCCTGCACTCCGTTCGAAAATTGCTTCTCCGTCACTCTAGCCTCAAACCGAGATTCTTGTCGCGATTATCAACTGCGCCTGCTTGGGTTGCTATAGAGTTTGCCTTGGTGATATAATTTTACTCTTCCAATCTCTTTGAAATGTTGTCAAAGCGTGGTAAAAGACCTGTGAGTTTGCTTATCTTTTTGATTATACGACAAAGAGTATGGCTTCGAGATCAATGAAAAGTGTCTAAAACCTCTCTGTCTTTTGTGATATAGTGTACTTACCCTGGGCTCAGTAATTGTAATCCTAGTAATTTTCCTTGTCTCATAAGCCTTTGTTTGAAAACTCACTATCTAGTAAATACTTTAAGCAACGCCGTGGAAATCAGTCTGGACCTCAACAAGGCCAGCAAGCCCAACAGAGTGCCCAACCACAACAGCAAAACCAGCCAGTACGTCAACAGAATCAACAGCAGCAAACCAATCAGCAGTCTCATTTCATGCACCAACAAATGCAAGCCGTCGCACAGCAACAACAGGCTCAACAAATGCACCAACGTATTCACGGGGCTGCTATCACCCCACAACAGTTTATGGTACCACCACCAGCCATGATTCAATCGCAACAAATGCAACAAGTTCAGCAGCAACAAGCACATCAAATACACCAAATGCAGCTTCACCAGCAACAGCAACAACAGCAGCAGCAACAACATCCACGGATGATGCCACAGCAACAATCTCAACAGGTAAGCAATTATTGAAACTCTTCAAATTTCACTTATTCAGGGTTTCCATGCCATTCAATCCAATCATCAACAAAATGCAGGACACCATCATCAGCAACATCATCAAAATCAGCATCAACATCAGCACAATCAAAATCATCCGGGCCAACAAAACATTCCACAAAATAGATTTATGGTATTTTCACCAACATAAGATCTCTAGTATACAAAATCTATTTAAGTTGAGAGATTGGCCGATTCGATGTGTCGTGGAAGGCAAATATCAGCAAGTGATTATGGGAGAACACGGTGCCACAATCAGGGACATTGCTCAGTCTTGCCATTGTCGTGTAGACTTCATTCATCTCTCCAAAAAAGAAAGGATGGTTCTTGGCAATTCTGATCGGATATTAACCATTCACGGTTACGCTGAGCAAGCTTCAAAAGCTGTGGCTCGTATTTTAGATGTTATTCAGACGGAAGCTATCAAAGATGATGCCATGGTGTAAGTTTCGAGCCTTTGGTAAAATCCACAGTCATCTATAAAATTAATCCTGCAGTGGTGCTGATGTAGTTCTCCGTTTACGAGCACACAATCAACTCTGTGGACGTCTTATCGGAAAAGGCGGAACTTCGATCAAGGATATCATGCAAAAGACGGGAACCAATATCACCGTTTCCAAGTATGTTATTAAAAGAACAATGGATTTTAGTGATCTCATTGTAGGCACGTTGATCCACCAGGAGGCTATCAATCGCTCCGCCAGGACGAGATGCTCGGCCTTTCTGAGAGAACAATCGTCATTCGAGGTCCATCAATTGAAGCTGTTGTGCAGGCAGAGTCACTTATTTCAGCGAAACTCAAAAAGTGTTACGAATCTGATTCGCATATGAGGGTAAGTTACCGAATCGTAAACACTTCCTTAAACGTATAATCAGAATCAGGGTATGCCGATGGCACCGATGATGATGCCACCAATTCCACCACAGGTAGCTGGAATGATCCCAGGAGCTCCACAATTGTTCCCTACACCGGCTGGAGTGGTGCAAATCCAACACTTCCCTCGTCCACCACATCAGCAATTGACTCAAAACAACGCTTTCCTCGCATCAGGTGTTCTTCAAATCGCTCCGGGCGTCACAAATCTTCGTCATGTTCGAATGTGGGTACCGGACAACATGATAGGAGCGCTTATCGGCGCGAAAGGTAAAAATATCAAAATGATTATTCGCGATACTGGTGCGGCTGTGAAAATCGAGGCTCCGGAAGAGAAAGTTCAACGAGAAGCAGTAGAAGCGGAGAAGAAGAAAAAGAAATCTGAAGATGCCGACACCGAGGAACGCGATGGAGCTGCTTCTGGCGATCACCCACAAGAGTTTCTGGATGATAATGGTACAGTTACATCTTCAGATGCTATTGAGGAGAAGGTATTGTTTTGTAACAAAAAAATCGATATGTGTTCTTTTTAGCCAAAGCCGATCAATGAACGCATGGTCACCATTACTGGCGACGATTACCAACTGCTCAAGGCTCAGTCTTTTGTTTTCACTAAAATCTCTGAAACGACTGCATCCCAGCCAGTGAACACTGTCGATGGAGGTCCATACAATGTGAAATTGCGTACAGAAGTTTGTGTTCCGACAAAGATAATTGGCAGAATTATCGGTAAAGGAGGACAGAATGTTCGCGAACTGCAAAGAATTACTGGCGCTTGTGTCAAGATCCCAGAGGAGGAACGCAACGGTGGATCCTCGTTCACAAATGACGATGGTCGGTTGACGATTCGAAATTATGAAAACTGAAATTGTTTTGGCAGGTTTTGTGGAAGAGATGACTTTGATTCGCATAACAGGAACTATGAGTTCAACACACAACGTGCAATTCCGTCTTGCTCATCTTATCAGCGAATACTATCGAGCCGGAGAGACTCGTCCAAAATCGTCAGAGCACAAAGGAGCACGACCTCAGTCTGGGTCAGGAAAAGAAGGTAAATGAAAAAATATATATTTGTTTAATTTATGAATTTAAGGGGGCGGGCTTGACAACATGGATCAATTGGGACAAGTTCCACCAATAGCGACTAATCGGTCTTCTCCGAAATCTAGATCAACATCGAAATCCAAGTCACCATAGAGATTTTCTAACATCCAATACTTCATCATCACTTGTGTTTTCATATTGTTTATTCTTTTGAATTTTCTCTGAACTTCCACCCCGATGTCCCCATCCTTTCCCATCATCAAAAGCATTTTCTCGTCGTCCTTTCCCTGCAATTTCTCTAGAATTAAGTTGAACCCATTTCGCTAAAACGTCCCATACATTTCTTCCCCCCATACATATCCCTTTGGGGAGTTCTCCCCTCAAAACCTGGAAAAAGTCTTCCAATCCTGTTCCCTCTGTTTTCCTAGGAAATTTTCCTGTTCGTCCCAATTTTCCCTTCGACGGGTGCGTACTGTATTCTCGGTCTCTTCGACGGGATTCATATACAGCTAGACACTAAAAGATGATCAAAATGCGTTTAGAAATAGATTATGCTTCTGGCTAGGAATCATGTGCTAAGTGTTTTTCTTTGTCTCAACTCCACTTCACAATTTGATTTTCTAGTTATGTAAGGCTTTTCGTATAATTCAAATTGTTTTCTCAATTTTCTGATGCCTTGTCCCGTCGGTGCCACCACAAAGCCACCATCTACAGTTACGTTCTGGTCTTACAGATCGAAACTCACTGTTCTTCCTTGAAAATTTGGTAATCTGTCCCTTTCCCCTTCCCAGAGTTTTTTAGTAATAATCAAATCCTTTTTGCGAATGAATCCTAAAAATATAATTTATTTTTTTGTTTATTTTGTGAATTTAAGAGACAAACAATATAGTGGACAAACGCTTCGAAGTTGATCGCCATCTGAAGAAAAGAATCGAAGTATGAACTTTCGAAAATCGAAGCAGTCTAATAGCTAGAGGACGGATGAAGAGCGGCCCACACTCCGGCAATTGACCGTAAACACTCTAAGAGAACGCCACCAAAACCGTCCGCTTTGAGCCCATGTATCTTATTTCCTGTAAAAGATATCAGAAAACTGTTAACTGACAAAATGTTGCTGATATTATGATGAACATTTTCCTAGTTGACCAGTTTTACACATCTGAGACCTAAAATGAGATATATGGTATCAAAGTTGAATGTTTAGGTGGCGTTCTATTAGAGTGTTTGCAAATCTATTGTTACCATATAAGAAGCCTGGTTTGAAACATAAATTGGCTCTATATTCATCATATTTTGTGTTCTGCTTCGAATCCATATATCTCATTTCCTGTAAAAGATATCAAAAAGTGATCAACTGACAAAATGTTTTTGTTTTCATGATAAAAATTTTGTCAGTTGATCACCTTTTGATATCTATCACAGAAAATGAGATATATGGGCTTAAAGTTGACGGTCTGGTGAGAGGGCGTTCTATGAGAGTGTTTATGGTATCTCATGTAGGTGTTTTTCTAATAAACATCTGCAGGTCTAAAAACTAATTAAGACTATTTGAAACAAAGATAGTCAGTTTTCACATCAGGCATTCAATAGCTATTGATTTTGTAGCTATTTATCATTTCACTTTACATCCGGTTTACTAATTGGGAATATTCTAAAACTTGACTGAAAGATTATAATATTTTTTTTGTAAATGAAAAGACTCGCAGTCTGACTTCGATTGAATCGTTCTGAATATAAAAGAAACCTGATCAATAGCTATATATTTTCAATAAACTTTTTGAACTCAAAGAAATGAAGCAAGTTTTGCATTTTATTGGCACCCGAAGTTATACTCAGGTAATTCTGGGTAGTTTTGGGGCCTACTCGGAGACGAGTGGGAGTTACCCGTGAAGTTTGGGCGTTACCCAAACAAAACGGGAGTTACCCAGGCTATTCGGGAGTTAGTAAGTGGGGATTTCCCTGCCGACTGGATTGTGGGGAACGGGGAGTAGATGGGGGCTAAATGGGGAGCGCCAACAGGGTATATATAATCTCCATTTTTTAGCGAACTCAGCGAAAATCCAGACAGGATGCTGATCGACTTTTGATCACTTCTCCATCTTCAATTCTAGCTCCATCTCTTCATTTTTAGTGATTGTTTGTATTTTTTCTTATGCTCTTTATTCTGTTATTCATCTAAAGTAGTCTATTGTGAATGAGTGTTTTGCATTTCTTTGTAATTAATAAATTTGGTTTTGAAAAGCCTATGTCGTTTGAATATCGGGTGCAAAATGGGGGAGAAATGGGGCTGATGTGGGGCCTACAGTGCGTTGCAAGTTCTTACGTCCACCCATGTTTAGGGTTATAACTTGAGAGCTGTTAGAGGTATCGGTCTAATTTTTTGAAAATCGGATTCGGGACAACAAATTAAATCTAGTGGACAATTTTTGTAATAAAGTCTTTAAAACTACCCGAATTATCTGGCAAAGTCTGAAAATATGCCTTTTGCAACCGTTGCAAGTTTATACGTCCACTCCAAAAATCAGTTGATCACGACCTCCAGCGAAGACGGTCTCCAATTTTGATTCTGTGCAACTAAAATCACTATAAAAAGTTGTTTTCATTACGCGTTTCTCTTTCTTTAAGTTTGTATCATGTCATGGGATCTTTTACCGATTGATGCTGGAAAAGCTTCAATCGGGGCAGTTGGAGCAGCTGGATGGACCAAAAAAGCTATCAGAAAGCAACTAAATCATTCACACTCTCATATCGACTTTTTTCTCTTCCGAAAATTAACGAAAAAAACAGGATCAGCTCAAATTCTGCCCTCGATCCCAACCCTCTACCAGTACTGTCGTTTTAGACTCTTTGTAGTCGTGTAATGGTACATACCAGAAGCTGAAACTTGAAGTCATCAAGTGGACGGGTTAGAGATGGCTCAAAGATAATCCAGGCATCAAGAGAGCAATCATGGTCCCAGCTTCGACACCTATCGACGATCACAAAATACGTAGTCTCAACTTCTTTCAAAAGTGCATCGGATCCAACTGGGGGAAGGCGTTAAAGCTTAACATGATCTACCAAAATAACCTTAGCATGAATGTTTTTCATTCTAAAAAAGTATCTGAAAAAATATCACCGTTTATACCACTAACATTTTATTAGTTGACAAATTTCGAGTATCTTTTATAGGAACCGAGATAATTGCCCAATAAATAAAACAACAGATGGTGCGCCTTCGGCGCTGTTCAACATAGTTTTTACTCGTTCCTCCTTAGTTTTTCACTTATTTAATGGGTTACGTAAATAAATCTACTTTCAATTTCCCAGCTTTTAAAACTTTTCACACGTTACGCAATAAACCTTTAAAGCAATATTAGGTCACGCCCCCTACCTCTGTCCACGTTGAAAAAATTCCACGTATTGAAAAAAAAAACAGTCCTCTGGGGAATCCCACTTTTTGAATTAGTTGAAAACTGTCTCCTCGGAGACAGGGGTTTTGTGTTGATGTTTTCCCCCAGTGAAAAGCCATTTTCCCTTTCATGTACTGAGAATCTACGTGGCGAAAGGGATCAACAGACGAAAGTCTGGCTAATCAGTACACTTATGAAACTGGAATATCTATATTTGAAATTATTTTCTCAGTAAATACTTTCCAGAATCCATTCAGAATTGCTCATAGATTACGTACAATTGTCCACTAGATTTAATTTGATGTCCCGAATCCGATTTTCAAAAAGTTAGGCCAGTACCTTTAACAGCTCTCAAGTTATGACCCTAAACATGGGTGGGCGTAAGAACCTGCAACGCACTGTATATGGGGCTTTCCACCGCGCACAGCCGACTGCCCAAACGGGAGTTACCTCAGTACTTTTGTTTAGTAGACATGGTATTTTTTCAGTCGCATTCGACGAAGTCTATTATATTTTTTAGACCTTCCAAGATTGTCATTTTCCACTAAATATACCGAAAACTTGTAATAGAATAGACCACACACAGTCATGTTTGAGCTCGATTGTTTTAATTTCTATGCAAGACATCAAAAATATGTCAATTGACAAAAAACTTCTGGAACTGTGATAAACATTTTATTAGTGGACAACTGTTTTGCATCTTTGACAGGAACTGAGATAAATAGACTCAACGTTAAAAGTTAAGGTCCCTTCTATTACAGGTTTTACGGTAGGTAGACTTCTGGCCGGGATTCCTGTACTTCAGTTTTCTCTATATCTGGGAAAATGTTTGTCGACTTTCCGCCAACGGTGCGTCTGCGGTCATCTACTAACGGTTTTTCAACTGAGCGGCCCTTCAGCAGCCGGCCTGCTGCTCGATTCCGAAAGTGAGACACAACATAACAATAGAAGAGGATTTCAGAGCTGAGTAAATTTACTGCCAACAAAGAGTATAGTTCTCTTTGACATTCACTGTTACAGTGCTCGTTAAACTTTTATGAAAATATGCCTGTTATCACGATCAAGTACGCAGATATCTAGATGTCTTAGTCTTCAGGCTACCATAAAAATTAAACAGAACGAGACACTATTGTATTATTAACTATCTCGTCACAGAGCTTAAAGGTATTTTAAAGTTCTTCATTAGATAATTTTTTGATAAATCAACTTTAAAAGATGGTTAAAATTTTAAAGAGTTTAAAAGACTTTGAAATATAGCTTTAATTCTTTAGTAACAACTTCAGAACAAGCTTTTGGAGATTCTGGTCAGAACTTATCCAAAAACGGTTGTATAGCGGGCCATAGTCAGACTTTTGGTCGGAAGTTGATAGTTGAATTTCTACTAGGCCGGAACTATATCAGGAGTTATTCGGTTTGGTTGGCTTTAGTAACGGTCTCATTCTGAATCTCTCCAACATCCAACCAGAAGTTGCTGACGAAGCCCAGGTATTACCCATATTTCAAGTTTTTCAGATGACGTCACCTGCCATTTTATAATGTACACTCTATCGGTGCGGAACAGATGAATGCCGCGCGGAAGATGTGTTTTTTATACCAATCATTTTCTCGAAGAAACTCAGACACATAAAAATGACCTCGTCCTTCAAACAAACGGAAATAGTGTTGAGGAGAAGGGAACTCAGACAAGCCGTCTTGCCTGACACCGCCTTGCACCGACTCTGCGTCTCTTTGCCGTTTCCTGTTTTCTGACCATCTCTCGCATCTCTTCTCCTTCTTTTTTCTCGCTCGAATCACCGACTGCGCAGTGTCTACGTGGGTGCCCAGCTTTCTTTTTTTCCTGTTTTTTTTTGTTTTTTTTTTCAAAATTGTTCGATTAATGCATCTAAATCTTTTATTTTTCACCTGGGCTCTGAAATCAGATCATCATAAGATCTTCCTAACTTGTTTACTTTTTCTTCTGGTTTTATAGATTCTACAAAAACTGAATTATCCTTCACTTTCGAAAAAAATTCCAAGTTTTCATATTTCTTAACCTTCACCCCTTACAATTGTTGACTTTAAATTTTAGATAGGAACATTGTTTCTGATGAAACTATCTTATTTTTCCCATTTGTGCTCTCTCAGCAGTTTTCCTTTTCCTTCTTATCTGAAACTTATTTTCAAAAACTAATCACTAGTTTGTTGGTGGTTTTGGAAATAAATTTTTCTCATGGTGCCTATATTATTGTTCAATTTCAAGTATACAGATATTGGGAAGGAATATTACCCACAAGATCAATTACCAAATCAATTTTTTATTTTTGATGATCGTTCTATTTCGGTCTAAGAAAAACAGTAGTTAAAGTAAATCACCGGCAACTTGAATCATGATTTTTAATTATTTCTAGGTTCCGGTAGTTTTCGTAACTTTGGCCAGGACCACTGGAATTTTTCTTCTTCAACACACCTTTAATAGATGGTCACCCTAACTTCAAACTTTGAGCCAATTTTTCTCTGTTTCTGTGAAAGATATCGAAAAACTATCAACTAATAAATTGCTTATCATAATATCAGAAATGTTTTGTCAGTTGACACATTTTCGATATCTTGCATAGGAATGAAGACAATTGAGATCAAACTTGACAGTGTGGGGGGCCCTTCTATTATCGCTTTTACAGTATGTTTAGTTGAAAATGACCAACTTTGAAGTTTGAAAATATAATAGATTTTGTTGAATGAGACTTAAAATGTTAGGGACTTTTTAAGACAAAGTATTACATAGAAAGTTCATTTGTCTTTTGTTCAATAATGAGAAGGACAGCATAAGTAAAATTTTTTAAAAGATACTGTGTAATTGTTGACAAAACTTCGGATTGGGTAATGCAATTATCACTCTTTGATTTGATTACAATTACCGTAAATGTTCTTTTTTACACTATATGATCTCGTTTCCTTTGAGTGATATTCAAAAGCTGTCAACTGATAAAATATTTGTCATAATATCACCATCACTTTTCTAGTTTGCAGATATTTAACAACTCTTGCAGAAACTTAGATATTGAGCTCAAAGTGCAAGTGACGTTCTGTTATGTCAATTAGTTGAGCTTCCAAGTAGCTGCAACAATAATTTTTGAGTAAAATTTGTTGTTTAATGTTGCACTTCCAGAACCTTCTCTTTATAAGTGCAACCTCTTTTCCTTAACCTTGACCCTATTCAGATGTCTAATCTTTCCCTTCCCATCTCTATTTCTTTTTTCCATCGGCTGGCACTGGCGACCATGATAAACCACCTTGACACCGTTTTCTTTTCACTCTCCTAATTTGATGAGCTATATCGAAAAAAGAACTTATGTTCATCCCTTCCTCTTCTTCTTCTTTTCCTTCTTCTTCCCCATATTTCGCCGCCGCTCCATCCCTTCCGCCTATTGCTGACTGCTGCTGCAGCTGTGTTTGAGAGAGAATGTGTGCCTGTCCGCCAGCGCCAGCACCCCCTGGTACCCTTGTTACCCCTCGTATTCTCTTCTTTTCCTATACTATTCCACGTGTTTCTATGTCTTCTTCGGCTGTTTGAGGCAAGGGCGCGAGTCGTTTGTTTGGGAGGGAGGGCACTGAGCGCCGAGGAAGATTTTAGATTTTTACGTAAAATTTTGAAATGCTCAACGCCGTTCGCTTTTCCGAACATTTGGGTTGAAACTCACTTCCTTTTTTCCTTGTACTCTCTTCTCAAAATACTGACATTCAACCTTTTTCTTTTGAATCTTTCTTCTTTATTTAGCTTTTAAAATGTTCTTATTTTATGCTAATAACTTATATTTCCAGAAAAGTTAAATAAGAGTTCGATCTCAAAACGACTGCCCATTTTTCATCCAAAATGCGAAGTCTTCTGAACTTCGTTCTCCTCCTCCTACTAATCAGGATATCAGTATCTGAACACAAGAAAACTTGTGAAGAGATTGAAGAAGGATTCACGAAGGAAGTGAATGCCCGCCAACAGGTAAACCATCATCTTTTTTCTGAAATTAATATTTTTCTTGTTTCAGCAAGTTTGCACATGTGCAGAAAATGGAATTTTCAGCACAGTCAATGGTTTCACTATTGAGTAAGTTCTTTTTTCAAAAATATAACTCATATAACTTTTTTTAAATATAACTTATAAATATAACTTTATAAAAATTTAACTTTTTTAATATGGAATTTTTCCAGATGCGAATCGGCCTCTCTTGAAACAATTACTGCAAATCTTGTCTCATTGAATGGAACACCTATTGGACGTTTGACAGTCCGAGACTCTTCATTCAATGTCCTCCCAGCTTCTATGTTCGATAGTGTAAGTTTTGGAACAAAAAAGGATCCAACGTGGGATAAATCAGATCTGGTCTCTGATACTTGATAAACTTATGAAAATCTTTTAAAATCTTTTTGGATGTTGTTAGAAAGTGTTGTTTTTAAGACTCTTCAAATGATTTGTGATTTCTGTTGTGTAAATACTCGAATAGAACTTTCAACTTCAAGCCAATTTATCTAAGTTTCTGTTGAAGATATCAAAAAGTCATCTAACAAAATTTTTTTGATATTATAAGCATTTGTTAGATTACCGCCTTTTGATATCTGTTACAGAAAATGAGATATATGAGTTCAAAGTTGACAGTGTTAGCGATAATTGTTTTTTTTTAATTCTGCTATTTTCCATTAATTTTTTTGCAGGTCTCAATCAAACAAGTGAAATTCGAAGAATGTAAACTTTCTGGACTTGGTCCAAAATCATTCACTGGGCTTGGAGACTCGGTTGAATACATTTCTCTTCGTGAAAATGTTCTTCCAAAAATCAGTAAAGGAGCTTTCAATGGACTCACTAGCCTGAAAACACTTGACATGGCAAGCAACGCCATCGAAGAAATCGAGGCAGGAGCATTTGAAGGGCTCAAATCAGCAGAACATCTGATTCTCAACGAAAACAAATTGACTCAACTAACACCAAAAATATTCGTTGGACTGAAAGGATTAAAGCGATTGACGATTGAGAATTGTGAACTCGAAACACTTCAAAAGTGAGTTGAATAGAATAGAAATAAGGAAATGATTCCAAAATCACAATTTTCAGAGGAGCATTCCAAGGTCTGGATAGTCTTGAAGAGCTGATACTGTCCAATAATCAAATCAGAGACGTTGATTGGTCCGTTTTCACTCCACTCAAAAATATCCGAGTTCTAGATTTGGGATCTAACAACATCTCAAATGTCGAATTGAAATCTTTTGCAAAACTTGAAAAGCTGGTTCTCAATAACAATTCCATCGATACTATGAAATCTATCAAGCTGAAAGGTAAGTGTTCTGCAAATGAATTTCTATCAATTCCAAATTGATTTCAGATCTCCCAGCCCTCGTTGTTGCTCTATTCGACCGTAATAAGATTCAATCAATCAATGATATGGATATGTTTGGATTAACTAGATCTGATCGCATTCAAACAATGTCCCTTGCATGGAACAATTTAAGTCAAATCAGTGCAAAAGCATTTCAACACACACCTAATCTGATCAACCTTCTTCTTCAAAACAATCAAATCGAGGAACTTTCAAGCAACTCCACTACTCTTGTCCGTACACCGTTCCTAGCCATTCTCAAGAAGTTGATCACTCTCCAGCTTTCATCAAACAATCTCTCGATTATTCGTTCTGATGAACTTCCAAAGTCTTTGATCTACCTGGCTCTCGACCAAAACGTCCTCACAAAAATCGAGGCTCGTGCTCTTGAAGGAATGACTCTCAAGCGGCTTTACTTGAACAAAAACAAGATGCGTTACTTGTATCGTGGAGCTTTCGATTCATTTGAACCAACTTCAATGGAAGCTATTGATCTCTCATCGAATGCATGGCTTTGCTCTTGCAATGATCCAAAAGAATGGCTGCCACGTTGGCTATCAGAAGCCGAGGAAGCCGATGTTTCCGAGGGACCACTTGGATGTCTTGCCATTCCAGAATGCGGACAAGAGGAAGATCCAAACAAATTCCATAATGAAAAGGAAGAAGTCGTGAGATCTGGATGGATTACTGTAGCTGCTACAGTTTTGACTATCATCACCATCATCATCATGATCATCATTGCAATGCTTTACTTCAAGGATTATAAGTATCAGGTACGTTCCTTTCATAATAAAAATTTGAAGAATTCATTTCGCTACTTTTCAGTTCCCTCTTCGCGGACGTCGTTCAGATTCGGATCTTCACAAACTCATTGAAAATGATCCATTGAATTTGCCATCTGATTCGATTCTTGTTGTTCCGGCAATGCCGAAACGGAATCCACCAGGGCCTAAGAAAACAGTACGATTCGATGAGACCTCATAATGGTTTCTGGTTTAAAAGACTATTCATATAATCAAAAAACTAAACTGGATAATTTTACGCTTTCCCGGTTATATACCTCATTTCAATTGTTTTTGTTCCCCCTTCTGTAAATAGAATTCATCTGGATTCAGTGCATCTTCTCTGTCCCTTCTCTTTCTTTTCTCCCTCCACCTCGATACGTGTTCTCTTCCTTCTTTTCTATTTCAGAAATCTCTTTTTTTTTTGTTCTTACCCTTCTTCACACCCCGAAACTATATCAGGTATTCTCCACTGATCTTTTTGAATCGCCCATCGAAATTTCGATTCATTTTTTTTCGAAACTTTCAAACATGTATCTAGGCGCCGACTGTGCGCAAATTGTCAATCTGTTCCCAACTTTTAATAATATTGTTTTTTTTTCTGATCCGAGTCTGACATAATAAAACCGTTTTCTTAATCATATCAAATGGTTCATTTACAAGAAAAAAGAAAGAAGACCAGAAAGGGAAATGCGGAGGCATGTAAATCACACGAACTTGTTACAAGTTCTTTTTCTAGATTCAAAATCTACATGATACAATCAAGACTATTCAGTTAGAAATCTATAAAAATTTGGATACATTTTCATTTATCTTCATTTGTTTTCTTTCAGTGTATGCGGCACTATTCTCATGAACCATGTCCAGGTCGTATCTGAAATTTCGGCAATAAAAACATTGAAAAGCTTTAATAAAACTAACCGATAATTCACCATGATGCCAAAACTATTATTGATTCCACGATGACTCGTATCACCATTCCAATTCATTCGATACAGTTCAGCGCCATTACGAATATGGAAGTTCGCTGGAAATCAATTTGAATTGCGGAGATATTCGATAGTCTAAATACACTGACCAACAGAATTCAAAGCCATTCCATTCCTTTTTGCTTTACATAGATAATGGGCACATGCATACATTAGAATGTGTTTAATTGCATTTAGCTGCTCTTTTTTAGTCTTTTCGTTGCTTATCACTTTCAATAAAGTTTCAGTTGATTCCGTTTCGGTCATCTTTCTACCAGATAGCTCTGACATCCATTCTACCACTTTTTCATTCATTATCGACGCTGAAAATAAGTATACTGTTTCTTCGTCTGTCAATTAGACACACTCACGATATTCTGAATTTCCTTTCAAATTCCTAATAAGCCAAGGCCTAAACCCAGGAATTGGTGATAGGGTTGAATGAGTTGTCACTGAGGGAACGTCTTTTTGAAGTTGTGTGGCGACTTTTTTGATTAACATGTTTCCCAAATCAATTCCAGAAAGACCAGCTTGAGTAGAAGTGATAGAATAGTAGATAGAAGTCGTCTGATCTTCTTCCTTCCCAGTCGGATCCCCTCTTTTGGTGATCTCTTGAACACTATCGGCTATTTCACTAACTAATGCAACATGAACCATTACGAGTGGGTTGCGCGGAAGAGCTTCGTGAGAGAAGTAGAAACATCTGAAATTTATCATATTCAAAACATCGATTGGCTGCCAAAAACCTTCTCAACGGTCCGAGGCGTTTTCGAAAATCGGATAGTCCTCTCACGGGGTGCACTGCTTCATACTCGGCTACCTTTTGGAGAATATCTCCAGGAGAAGACCACGTCAGTCTTTCCAGTTTTAAGTTACCAAGACAAAACCATGAGGTGAGAACTTCTCGAGTCGCTAGTTCAATATGTCGAAGATATGAGGTAGTTGTTTTGTCCGTTTCCCGTTTCAACAATGCCTGAACAAAGTGATAAATTATCAGCAGTTTTTATGTTTCTTACCAAAATGTTCGCTCTCATTTCACAGACTTGAGCAACTCCTCCTGACAAATTTCCGATACCTTTTATCAGATTGACATAAGTAGCTGTTGCTGCTGTTCTGACTTCTGGATACATTTGGTCGTTCTGAAATATAAGTCTTTAACTTGTAGGTAATCGTTTTCCAGGATTACCTTCAAATACAGAGAGATGGCATGATTTAACGCTTCCTTATTGACTCCATAGTTCGTGACAAGATTCACGAATAAAGCCTTCCTAGTTTCTGGTGCAGTCTGGGCGTATAGTTTGGAGAATCGTTCACTGTAGGTCTGGGAATCTCCACCATTTTCAAAAACGTATACCATAACTCACCAGCAACTTATCTCCATTTGTTCGGTTGGTTAGTCCATCTAAAGAAGATAACAATGTAGAAGCATTCCGGAATGAGTAAAACAATGAATACTTTCGAAGCATCACATGAATCTAAAAACAAAACTAGGTATACAAACCATAATTCATGAACTCTAGACTGAAAAAAACGATTGAGATCAAATATTCTATAAGAAAATAAAGAAAAAAATTACAACTGAATCACCTGATAAACGGGAGAGATACACTAAAATCAACAAAACAGAAAGGAAACAACAAAAATCGTCGGCAAAAATCAATCAAACGCCAACTGCTTTGAGCATTCTCGTATTCCCCTGCCAGTTGGCCGGTATCAAGAAAGCCATTGAACGCTCAAATCAAAAGAAGAACGAAAACCAGAGAAATTGAAGATAAGAGAAGATGTGAACTGTTAAAAAGTGCAAAAATAGCAAAAATGGCAAATGCGCGCGGTGTTGTTGCGAAAATGCGTGCGGGGCGTTGCAAATCAATCGGTCGGCTCGTTCCGCCTGCTGTCTGTGCATTTTTGCATCTAAAAAAATGATGTTTCGGTTTTTTTTCTATTTTATGTTATTCATATTTTTAGGTAATCAAAATGTCGAGCAACGTTCTGGGTCAAACTCTTCGCTCGTCGAAGAATGCTGTTCAAAAGGCGTTCGTCGCGACTGCTCCGAGCTCGGACATGCTTCGTTTCCGTTCCCCAGTTCTTCAAACAAATACAGTAAATTGATTAAATAGAGGACGACTTATACAATAAAATACTGATTCTAGACTAAACTTGCTCGTTATGGAGGACGTCACAATGTAACCGTTCTGCCAGGGGATGGAATCGGACCAGAGATGATTCATCACGTTGAGAGAATCCTTACTACCGTTCAGGCTCCAATCGACTTTGAAGAGGTTAATCTGACATCAAAAGAAGATGCTTCTGAAGATCTTGCCGAAGCAATCACCGCGATTAAGAGAAACGGAGTTGCGCTCAAGGTTTTTACCTATTTACCATTATGTAATTTTTAATAGAAACATTTAGGGTAACATTGAAACCAAGTTTGACAATCCAAGTTTCGTCTCTCGCAACTTGGAACTTCGTCGCCAGCTCAACCTTTACGCGAACGTTCTTCACTGCTCCACCATTCCAACCGTTCCTAGCAGACATACTGTAAGATATCCCTGTATACTGTTAATATTTAATTTTCTGTTGCAGGGAATCGACATGGTCATCATTCGTGAAAACACGGAAGGAGAGTATTCCGGAAACGAACACGAGGCTGTTAATGCGCCTCATCCGCGCGTTGTCGAATCTTTGAAAGTAAAAAAAGTGTGTTCCATCCAATAATTATATTATATTCAGGTTGTGACTCGCGAAAAATCGGAACAGATCACTCGCTTCGCATTCCAATTTGCCAAAAAATACGGGAGAAAGAAGGTCACTGCTGTTCACAAAGCGAATATTCAGAAGTTAGGCGATGGACTTTTCTTGAAAGTGGCAACAGATATCGCCAAAAACGAATATCCGGAGATTGAATTCAATGCGATGATTGTCGATAACGCTTCAATGCAACTGGTATTTTTTTTTGAAATATAATATGCTTTTTGAGAGAAGAGCAAAAAAAGCGGAAAGAACCCCAGTATTGAATAGAAATTTTCCTATTCAACGTCAGAAAGCAAAAAAAAAAACGAAAACCTCGTTTTTTTCACTTCTGTGCTGGTTTGTGGTATGACACCTCAAATCAATCCTTAATACTTTTTCGAAGTTATCGTAATATCATCTTTTTCAGGTGTCTCGTCCACAACAGTTCGACGTTATGCTTATGCCAAATCTTTACGGAAACATTATCTCAAACATTGCCTGCGGACTCGTCGGTGGACCTGGTCTTGTGTCTGGAATGAACATCGGAGAAGACTACGCTGTTTTTGAGACAGTAAGATTTTCAAAGTGTAATAATGATAATGAGAACATTGATTACAGGGAACTCGTAATACTGGAACTACTCTCGCTGGAAAAGACATGGCCAATCCGACTGCTTTTATTCGTGCTTCGGTTGACATGCTCCGTTTCCTCGGACTTCAAATGCATGCTGACATTATTTCCGATTCGCTGTTCCGTACTCTTGTAGATAAAAGAATTCACACTGCTGATATTGGAGGCACCGCCAAGGTTAGCTAAAAAAATATTTTCCTGTAAAAACTTTAAAATTTCAGTCTTCGGAGCTGGTCCAGTCAGTGATTGAGTTCATCGAGAAGGAACTTGAAGATAGAAACTACCGTGTTTGAATTATCTTTCAATAAACAAAAAATACAACTTTTCCACATAGTGGCTAGCTTTACTTTTCTATTCTCCCCTCATCCCCTGTTCGATTAATCCATGATTGTAGGCATAATGCTCATTTCATTGTGCTCTCTCCGTTTGACCCGTTGACTGATGGTTACGCTGTTTTGATTCCGAAATCTTTTTCCGCCTGATGTCTCTTATCTCTCTCTGTCGACTTCTTTCCTGTACCTGAAAGCTCGTTGGTTTCTTAAAGTTTTTTTTGGTTTCTCTTTAGTACAATATGAATGAACATTTTGGTTTAGGAAATTTGATATTTTTAATGTTGGTACTAGAACTCTGTCAAATAATTACACTCTCAGTAATACACTTAGCCCGATTAATAAACACTTGAGCACATCTTATTTGGAAGGTAGGCGTAGCCAAAAGGCTACTGTATCCTTCCATCAACAGTCTTCATTCATTGTCGATCTACCTCGATCATGATTACCACTGTTTCATTGTATTCAGTCTCTAGTATTCCCAGTGCTCACTAGGCTTTCCCGTTTTGTTGAACTAATAGCAAATTTAAGTTCAATATACAGGATAGCCCCGTGAGTGGAAAGAAAGCATAACTTTGTATGTTGGGTTAGTTGAACTAAAATTTAGTAATCAAAGTTTGAATTAAGTTTATCAAAGTTGTTTGTGAAACTAACTTGCAAATCGGATGACAACTAAATATGCACAGAAGACGGGGAAACTTATGCTTATCACAACTAAGTTAAGTCTTAAAATGAAAAGACAACTATAAATGTACAAAATAACAAAAATGTTTGAGACTAATAAATAATACAGCGAATACACATGAAAGTGATACTAGAAGTTGACACAACAACCGACCTGATTGGAAATTACAATTTAAGACATACAATTAATATCTACATTTCATTAGTATCATCATGATCTTCGGGCTGGAAAGAAGTATTTACAAAAGATGCGTTCTTTCCGGTCATCGATGACTTCTTTTCTTCTGAAACCAGAATTTTTTACGAAATATTAGAATTGACCAAAAACTCACTGGACAACTTCTTTACAGCTGGAGGCATTGGTGAAGCAAACTGCAAATCGTTTGCAATAATGCTAGGATGTGACGATCGAAGACCAAACGTGCTCTTCTTCTTTTTCTTGGATAGTGTTGTGGACCCGTCTGTTGTCCACATTTCAGCTTCAGATCCATCTGTTTCGGGATCCGATGAACCCTTCTCTCGATATTCCTCCAATATTATTTTTTCCTTTTTTCCTTCCTTTTTCTCTTTCTTCTTTTCTTTTTTCAGATGCTTCTCGATTTTCTCCTTTTTCCGAGAGGTGACAGAAAATACAGCATTGTCTTCCGTTTTACATTCTGTAGTTTCCCCAAAAGAAACTATTTCAGTCTTTTTGATAGGTGGTGGTGGTTCAGAAGGTGCCCCTACCGAAATCAATGTTCCGATTTGCGGTTCTGTTAACGTTGAATCTGAAGAAAATACAGTATATTGTCGAATTAAAAAAAGTGGGACCTGGAAAATTTCGCGGGCGGCTTCCCGGTCAATTATCGAGGCCTTGTCCCAAAAAACAATACGGTAGTAAACGAAACTTATTCCTGTGAATTTAGTGAGATTTTCTGGACAAAATTTACGTTTCTTAGTATGAAAATGATCGCTAGCATCTCTAGAATCTGTTTTTCATCAAAAAACCGAACTTAATTGCGAAAGTAGCTCGAACGAGTCGAAACTATGAAATATTTGCCGGACTTTTTCGTAGATCAAAAAAGCTATGCCTTTCAAACTCTCAGGTCCCACTTTTTTTAATTCGACAATATGAAGTTACCCTGGACCAATTACTCACATTCCGAAACTCGCGCAGCTTCCAGGAAAGAAGTATTTGACAACGAGGGAATGATAGATACAGGTGCAGCCGTTGGTAGTTCAGGCTGAAACTAACGCGTTGAAAACTAAAATTACTAACGTTATTGTTACGAACCTTGAATCTACAGACGAGAGGTGTAACTTGTCTAGGTAAAGTAGCTGGAGCAAAAATATTATGGTTTTGAGAGGTCGGTCTTTCAAATACAGTATCCCTTCGATCCGTCCATCGATCTCCAAGATCCCAATCGTCATCAGCACTCGAATTCCTCTCAGGTGCCGCAGACAACATTAGCGGCGAAACCATTTTAGGGGTCATTTCATCGCGTAAAAATGGGTTTGTGATTGCGTTTTGAGTGAGTGGAGATGAGGTTCCAATGAAAAGTGGAAAACTGGCATTTGAAGAGAAGGAAGACATCAGTTCGTGCTAAAAAGGATCTAAAATATATAAGAACAAGTTCTGAAACTCACATCATCGTCATCCTCTAATCCGTCGTCTTCGAGCAATGGACGATTTCCTCCCTCCCCATCTTCACTTCCTACTGTATTTTGGGAGTCTTCATCGTGTGATGTATCGCCACCTCGCTGTAAATAAAAGGAAATTTGCAGTTGTGGATTCAAGGACCTACTCGACTATCATCGTCCTCTTCTTCCTCCGAATCGTCTCGATCTGTTTTCCCTCGGCTGTCACTACTTGCATCATCACCGACTCCGTCGATATTCTCATAGGAATATCTACGACGGTCATTCATTCGTTGTTCATCTATTTCGCTGTCATCCTCATTCTGGAACAGTAGAACTAGATGTTGTTCGGCTATTTTTATTCCTCACATTAGATTCCTTCTTTTTAATGTCAATTATTTCAATAGAATTCGCTCGATCCTCTTCATCACTGTCACTGATCAGTTTTTGTTCATCATCCTCGTCTGCAGCTGAAATTAAGAAGGAAATGTTCGATTTTTCAAGCTTCAAGTAGAACATGATAACAAACAACCACCGCCGCATTACTGACCACATTACTGACCATTTATATACATATTCACACAACATACGAAACATGCGAGAACCGAAAAAAAATTGAAAATATCCGATAAAGTACTATTCACAGGAACAACAGAAAAACAATTTGGGGAAAGAAGGGTTTTAAAGTCTAAGTAAATTGCACAGAAATCTAAGAGTGTTGAATAAAGCGGCTGCGAAAGGCTGTTCAATAGCAAGGATGGGCTTTCAATCTTCTATTACAAAACTGATTAACTATGGAAACCACGAGATGTGGTTCTTTGTGGGACTGGAGGAGGAGCGGGGCGAGTTAGTACGTGCCGTAATAGAGGGGATGGTGCCATGGAGGAAAAAGGAGGTGAACTACCTGGTGGTAGGGATACAGGTTGTGTCGATGACGATGTTGATACAGTCAACTGATCAAATGGAGCCGCTCCGAATGGATCACGTGAATCGATTGATGATGTATCGCTGTCCAGCTCGGCAGGAACTTCTACGAAACAAAATTGTCAGACAAAGTAAAAATTAATATTTTTGATCTCGATTACTTGATCGTAGAATCGATCAGGCCAGCCTTATAACAGCTAAGATTTTATGATTTTTTACTAACCTCGCCTACGGATTTCATCAAAAACCATTCCGAAGTGAGAATCATCCATTTTGAAACCACTTTCTGAACCATGTTTAAAATTGTTTGAAAAGGGTGCAGCCAAAAACGGATTCCATTCTGCCGAATCACTGACAGCTGAATGATTGGACATATCTTCAACACTGCGCACAACTTGTGTGCTGGATTTTGATATTATCTGCTGACTACTGTATGGCCTGTAAAATTGTTCATTGAGATCATTTGACAAAATTCAGGCCACCAACTTGAAGGCGCTTCGCGAAATCTGACTCGTATCACTGACGTTCCGTCTATGTTGTTGTTGAAAAATAATATTTGCTTCCTGTGGAATACGTCTCTTCCCATCAGTTTGTGCTCGATCTCTCGGCAAAGCAGGCTTGTCCAAATCAATAAAACCCAACTCGGCTGGTTTCACTAGTGGACATGATAGTGGGCCAGCGCTCTCCTGATTCCGTGTATTCAACTGATCTTCTCCCGAAAAAGATTGTCTGTGATGCACATCTGACGATTCATCCGTTTTTGAAGGAAACTGAAAATGATTCGTATTATTTATCAATGTTTGAACTAAGAACCAATATGTATACCTTTAAATTTGGAAGTACAACAGGAGGCACTGGGGAAATGCTTGGAACATTCGTAACAGCATTTGTCGCTTTGGGCCGAAGACGCGGAGCCACTGAAGTCTCCCCCGTTCCAGAAACAGAACTGGAAACAATAGGTATCGCACTGACAGGCTGCGATACCGTTTGGGGCAAGCCAGAGGAAAGTTGGGTTTCTGTACAACTGGGAGATGACTCTCTCTTGTTTCGAGGTTTGTTGCCATCCTTCATCAGTTGAACGCATTCTCTTATTGATAGAGTAGAGTCAGAAAACTAGAAAAGAAACTTTTTAAAAATATCTGGAAAATGTCTTACTTTTTTATTTTGTATCTCAACTGGCAAGTTTCTCCGACTTGCTTCGAAAACAAGTGAAGCTGTTTGATATATTGAAGGGCGCCGATTTATGTCAATATCGAGAAGCATGTCTGTAAAACGTTGTCAAAAATCGAAAATTTCGATTACTTACAAATTAAAGCTTTAGCTTCATCCGATATATTAGGTAGGGCTGGGAATTGATAATTCACCGATTGAATAGCCAGGGGCGATTCTTCGAAAGGAACGCAAAAGTAGCATAGTCGATACAGGAGAACTCCCAGAGCCCATATATCTCCTTTTAAACCTAAAATTGTTTCTTTTGATTTGATTATATGAAGTTATGAATTACCAAGAACTTGACCACTATAAAAATCAATCATTTCAGGGGATCTGTAACACATTGTTGTGTTCCTTTCTATTTCCGATTTCACATATTCCGCTCCGAACTTTTCTATGGACAAAACTTGAGTTGTAGCACTTCCAAAATCACACAGAATATAATTTGGTGATTTGTGTGAAGAAATCAAAACATTCTCTACTTTCAAATCTCGATGAATTATAGGCTGTGGACGGTGATGTATGAATGACACGGCTTCACATAGATCAGAGAAAATCGACAAAATTTCGGTGTTCGTTAGATATTGGTTTTGAGATATCCTTTCATTCATCAGTTGGAGGACGTTTCCTGCAAATCGTTTTACTTTTTTTGAAAAGTATTTAAAAAGAAAAAATTACTTTGATGATATTCTGTCAACAGCATACATTCCCATATTCCATTTCCGAGACAATTTACATAACTGTCTACAAACTCCACAATATTTTTTTGTCCTGCGCATTGCTTCTGAAATTTCGCAATTAATAAAAATACTAACTGAATAGACATACCAAAAAACTATGCTCTCTACAGCATGCGTCCAGTTGCTTTTGGTTTTCTTTCGTAAACTGTCTCTTCAGGGCGAATTTATTGTTTTTCCTATCACAAGCAATGTAGACGATAGCGAATCCTCCTGAAAAACTTTTTCAGAATGAACACTTTCTCTCAACTATGACACTACCTTCTGCAATCTGCTTTTCAATCGTCACCCGGGTATGATCAAGCTTCAATGTTACTCCTGAAGATTTAGTTTTTGTTGCATATCATAAGAACAAATCAAACCTTTGCATTTATTCTCACTCAATTGCTTCGGTTCCTTCTTCTTGCTCCCAGCTGGTTTCTCATCACTGAGAACGTGTGCTTTCCCGGAGCTGAAAAGCCCCAAAGGCATGGTTTTCCTGGCAACATTAATTACATAATTTATTAATTGTTTTTTGAGCACAAAAATGTGATTTTTTAACAAAGAAAATGTTTAATTTCTCAACATACATTAACAGGTTTTAAAAATATGAAAAAATACATTTTTTATGACATGAGCTACTTCAAAATTTCCATAGTTGGAGTTCTAACATTCTAGTAATCAAAGCGATTGAAAAATGACAAATTGAAAAAAAAACAATCCATGAAAAACTAGATTTTTTCGAGGGAACAAATTGATCGAAAAGAGAGAAGAGTGTCGGAACGCAGAGAGGCGGGGCTTAGAAGGAGGCGGAGACAAGCTTTGCAGGCGCGCGGCGCGCTTTTTCTTCTTTTTTCTCTGGGAACTTGATTTGTTTTGTTTTTGTTTGGTTCCGTAATTTTTCAGAAAGAATACACAGAATTAGGGGGTTTTTTATTTATTTTCCAGTTTCTCCCGCCGCTAAGTTTCCCGCTCTATTTATTGGGGTTTTTTCCCGGTTTTCTTACGGGGTCAATATTAACGACAATATTGCTTTTCGTTGTTTTTAAACCTTCTCATGAATCCACACATTCGTCCTGTTGGTATTCATGAATCTGTGACTATATTCAACTATGTGTTCAATATAATTTCATTCCCCTCGTTTGACTTTCGTTTTCATTTATATCCGATTTTCAGATCTCTTTATCCTTTCCTGCTTTAATGAAATACAATGTCAGGTGCTTCTAATACGAGTCAATCTGGTTCCAAAAAAAAGGTGCGGGCTAGATCTTGAAAGTTCTAGCTAAAGAGAGTGTTTCAGCTCTCATTTATTATTCGAGATGAACAAGAACCGCTACACCGTTCTGCAGTAAGTGCTCTGCAATACGATGCTCTTCACAGTCGACTATTCACTGGCGGAAGCGATACTATAATCAGAACCTGGTCTGTTCCTCAACACAAGGTTCGTGATTTTTAAAACCAAATTACATGTGCTTGCAATCAGAACAGTTGTTACAGGATGCCTTCTCAGCTCGGGGTGGAGTTCGTTCAGCAGGGAAAAACTCCCCGGTCCAGTATCAAAGTTCACTAGAACGGCACACAGATTGGGTCACAGATATGGTGCTGTGTGGAAACGGGAAACTACGTAATTCAATTGTTTTCTATCTGTAAAATTCCGGAAATCTTTTTAGTGGTTTCTTCATCAAACGACACAACAGTCAAAGTTTGGTCCATCGAGCGAGACAACAAGCACGGATATCTCGATAGTCTCAATCTACACACAGTTAATTACGAAAATTCAGAGCAATAAAAACTATTTTTTCTCACAGGATTATGTCAGTTGTTTGGCCTATGCACCGTTGGCCGAAAAAGTAGTCAGTGCCAGTTTCGATAGGAACATTTTCGTGTATGATGTCAATAGTAATTTTGCGAAAGGTGCGTTGTCTTCTGTAATGGGGAGAGAATAATTTTCGTGTTTTAGTGAACAATTTGCTTGGCTGCAAGAACAGTATCTATTCACTTGCAACAACTCCGAATCTCTCGTTAGTTCTCGGAAGTGGAACCGAAAAGGCACTGCTTATTTTTCAGTCCCCATCATAGATTTTTCTCCCACTTTCAGCAGATCAGGATGTTTGACCCACGAACGAATGACAAGCCTATGAAAATGCGTGGTCACAGTGATAACGTTCGGGCTCTTCTACTAAACGACGATGGTACACGAGCACTCTCTGCAGGATCAGATGGAACAATCCGGTTATGGGATATTGGCATGCAGAAGAATATTGCCACAGGCATTGCTCATGAAGAAGGAGTCTGGACAATTCAAGTATGTTTAAGTTTGTTCAACATACATGAAAAATTAATTTTTCAGGTCGATGCATCATTTAAGTTTGTATATAGTGGTGGAAGAGATAGATACGTTCTTAAATCGCCAGTTAATGATCTGTCCAAATTTCAAGTACTGTTCAAAGAAGAAGCGCCTGTTAAAAAATTGTTGCTTAGCGAAAAAGAAAACCCATCTTCTATATGGGTTGGCACATGGAAATCTGACATCAAGCGGTGAGGAATATTTATATTCAATTAGTAATACAATTATTTCTTTACAGCTGGTCTCTGAACTCCGCCAATCAGAATTCTAACGGTGGAGACGAGGAGGGTGTTTCAAGTTTTTCCACCTATTATACAACATGTAAACCACGTTCATCTTCACCACCGCCTGGAATAACAGCACCAAAACACATTCAGCGATTAACAGATGCGAGAGAACTACAGAATACTCCTGAACTGATGATATCAGGTTAGAATGATCTACAGGGAACACATTAACTCAGCGGGCCCTCATGAATCATATCAGAGCTAGTCGTAAGAGACACATCACCAAAACATTGTTAATTATTTCAGTATGATTTTGGTAGCATACTTTTGTTACGTTTCTCATCATCCTTATTATTTCAGGCGCTCCAGCTATAAACAAGTACAAGATCCTTAACGATAAGAGACATGTATTGACGAGTGATACTGAAGATAATGTGGCGCTTTACGATGTCCTAGCTGGTAAAAAGGTTGGATTTATTGGTATTAGTCACATATATAGCCATATCGTAATAGGTGAAAGAATACGGGAAGCGAGCGTTGGAAAATGTTTTCGAAGAGAAGTCGAAGACAGTATACGTCCCCAGTTGGTTCATCGTTGATTCCAAAAGCGGAGTGAGTTAGTGAGAAACGCTATTCATTGACAAGATACAATTAAAGATGCTGCAAATTACTCTAGACGAACTGGACGTTTTTTCTTCATGGCTCACCACCAAAGATGCTGGATTCGATGATAGTGACAAAGAAACAAAAGGTGATCATTACAACATTTGTTTTTCAAAGGAACCACTTTGATTTTGTAAAAACCATATTTGTAAAATTCCGGGCCCGGGTCGGGCCTAAGGAAATTTTCAACGCCCGGTAGCAAAAATTTTGTTATTTTGAGCCAAATTTTGAGCTCAATACAATTTTCTCCATTTTTTTGTGTTTTTGGATTGTTTGTCTGTATGATCAAAAAATATCGAAAAAACTCGAAAAAAATGTTTGATCGAAAAAAATCACATAAGGGTCCCCCTTATGTGTTTTTTGAAATTTTCAAAACATGTGGAATGACAGGCCCGCCGGGCCGGGCCTCCGAAATTCGGGAAAAAGCCCGGCCCGTTACAAGTATGGTAAAAACTGCGTAGTTTTGTTTGTAGACTCAGAATTCTTATAGTTAGAGACTACCGTAAATACTATGATAGAAGTTTGATAAGAGCAACAGTTTAATTTCCTGGGCAGTCACAATTTCAATGTAGTAAAAAATTGTTCCACTGCGTCTGCAAACATTACGACGCAGTTTTTAATAAGTCGGTGCAGTAAACTACGGTGGAATGATGTTACGATCGCTCTTCGAACGATGGCCGCCTTGCAAACTAGCGACTGCCGAAGCAGGAGAATCAGATGAAGTACAGAAAGCCACCAGTCATTACTACACGCTTCCAGAACACACACCCTTCATTGTTTGGTAAGCTTTCTCCTATTCATCGGAGATTCATTGATCCGTTTCAGCGAAGGAAATGGTCGTCCTTTGTTCCGGTTGCTCGTTGGTGATGCTGGGAATGAATTTGAATCTGGTGAACTCGCTCAGTGTGTTCCTCCCTGGGTAACTGATATGATAGAGCGAAATGTTCTTCCGAAATTCAACAAAATGCCATTCTATCTTCTTCCTCATCCATCAACAAATTCAAAACAACCGAAAAAGTGAGATTTGAAAAATATACGTAATATATTGGCTTCTTTCTCAGGGACCGCCTGTCAGCTACGGAAATGCTGCTAGTGAAGAAAGTAATGGAACATGTTTATGAAAAGGTTCTGGGTAATGTTGACGGTAAGATCTTTTGTTTTTAATGCTCCAATTTATCATCGGATTTCCAGCCAACACCGTTCCACTCAACCAAATTCATACCAAAATCGAAATGTATTGTAATGATCAAAAGTTGGAACCAGAAACGGATCTACGAACTGTCAAACACTTTTATTGGAAACAAAGCGGAGAACTTCTACTCTACTACAGACCTGTCAAAAACTGATTCAATTCATGTTTATTCTGACTTTGTCCACATGTATATAACATTCTTAATGACTTCACTTACACAACGGGTTAATACCTTCAATGAAAACTGCGATCTTGTTATATTTGTTTTTGAAAGACTACAGTACTCTTCCGTTCTGCTATTTTTTCCAAACTCACTTCTTCTCTAAACCAAAATTTCATACAGATGACTAGTGCCGTCGGATATGAAAATGCAATCGAAGTGAGGAGTTTCAGCATACAATTGTTTATTTTATATTGTTTTTAAGGGTTGGAGAAATGATTATGTCTCTAATCGAAACTCAAAAAAGGGTTGGGAAATATTAGAAAACTTGGTGAAGATGCAAACTGAAGGAAATCAGCAAATGGAGTAAGTCATCAAGTCTTCAAATTGAAGATCTTTTTAAAATGGTTTCCTATCTTTCAGAACCGACGAGATGTCTGAGAACTGTGCAGCTTTTGATGATTTCAGCACTAATCAGTTGATCAAGCTAATCATTGGAGATTTTACAGTTAAAGATTTGCTAGTTGATCACCAGGCAGGTATCCCTATTTTTGATGTGATTTTGAATTTAAATTTGGCAGGTGGTTCTTCTCGAATTCATTCCATCAGCTCATCCCAATATTCTTCGTCATGTGGCTCGTATTATTCGTGAAAAAGAAGGCGCTTTGCCGTTTCTGAAAACGGAATCAATCGCTGTTGGAATCGCATTTGCTCGTAGAATTACTGACAGCGATGCTGGAGAAGAAATCGGACGTCTTCTAGCACATCTTGTCGATAATGAAAAGATTTGTGATGAGTTGAAATTCATACTGAAGAATAACACCGGAAGAAACAACGCTATGAATAGAGCTAGCATTTTTTCAGTAACTTTGTTCTCGAATTTATCTATTATAATTTGAATTTTCATTCAGATTGCTACCGAACGAGCGGGTATCTCTGCTGATGCTTCATGCATTCGTTGGCTATATGAGGAAATCCTTAAAGTTGTTCTGGACAAGGAAGATATGTTGGCTCAGCTCGACGCTATAAATATATTCGGGGATATTGCCTTGAGCGGAAAGCAGAATGCAGAAAAAATGATTGAATGGAATATTGTCGAAAAGGTGTAAAAAATGCAATTGTTACATTCATAATTCCTTATTCAGATTTCGGAGCTCATGGAAAGATCGAGACAAAATCCTGATCACGGAGAGATGCACCTTTGTAAGAATAGATAAAATATGTTTTAACTGACTATAACCTTCAACAGATGGAACACGCTTCTTCTGCTACTTGGCTCGCTCCTGTCCACAAGTTCTGAAGACGTTCCCCGACTTCGTCAATCGTCTCATGTTTGAGGTTTATACAGAAACAGAAATTTTTTCCGTTAAAAAGCGATTTCAGATCAGAATCTTCAACGATTTGGGCATAACGGATCGTCTCGCTGCTTTTGACCATTTCGGATGTCTATGCTACTCTGTTGAAGCGAAAGAAATGTTGGAAGACATGTTCAAAAGTTAGAAAAATATTATAATCCAGCTTTGAGTTTTCATTATAGATACAAACACTCTTGATTCGACTCTTGCTGCCGCCGGAGCTGCTTTCGCGATGGGGTCAATTGAGATGAAACGCTGCACTATTCAGGCCATCACTCTTATTTTCGAAAATGGTTTGGAAGTTTGCTCATAGCTGTTACTAGATGTTAATTTCAGCCACCGATGCTATGGCTTCTTCATGGTACGGACTAATGGGTGACAAAGCACTAACACAAGTGGCTCTTGATAACGTCAAGAAACCGTTCCCCGAGTTAAAAAACTGCATCTATGATTTTTGGCAGCAGGTATTCAAGTATCCAACTCTTGTTCAGAAATTCATTGCATTCCCTGGGTGAGAATTCGAAAATAACAAGAAAACAAGTTTATAATTGCAGATTCATCAACTGGTCACTTGACGAAAAATCCGAAAATGCTCCGGAATACGAAATGCGTAAACGTCAAGTAATTCGACGAGTGATCGATTTATCGGAAAAGGAATCGAATATATTGAATGCGGATGCTGAACTCATTGGGCGACTCAAGAAGTACCTCCAGCCATCTGCAGCTCCTGCACCGCGTATAGAAGAAATGGCTCTATAAGCTCTTGCATATTATTTATTCGTTCCTCGTCTCACAATAGAAGTCTCTCAGATGCGCATGTTATTGCATGTATCCTTTTCAATGCTCTTCTCAACTATGTTCTGGTTTTGAAATGTCATTCAGTTCAATAAATATTTTAAATCGATTTCAAAAAATATAAGACAATCATTTGTGTTGATGCTTCATTCCCGTTCGCAAGTTGAATGGTTTTATTTACCCAAACTTAGTCTTGGACTTTTCCCAACGATCGAGTATTACAACTTTTACTTTTTTGTATAATTTAGAGAAGTTGAAATCACATAAGGGGTGACCCTTATGTGGTTTTTTTCGATCAAAAAATTTTTTTCGAGTTTTTAAAAATATTTTTCGAACAGACAAACAATCCAAAAAGCACAAAAAATATAGAAAATTGTATTAAGAGCTCAAAATTCGGTCCAAAATGACAATATTTTTGCTACCGGGCCTTCCGGGGCGGGCCCAGGCCTTGAAATTTTCCTCAGGCCCGGGCTTTGGCGGGCGGGGAAAAAAAACGCTGCAAAACCAGTGGTATTCGGAACGGAATTCGGAATCCCGAAAACTCCAAATGGCGCGTCCAAAGTGCCCAAATCTGGGATTTCTGGACCCAGAAAGCAGTCCAAAGTGACGCCCAGATTCCCAAGATTTCCAATTGGGCAAAATTTGAACCAGTGCGACAATTTAATGTTACATTGCATCAAAATATGCAGAAAAGCGTGTAGATTCACATAAAAACAACGCAAAAATGCAATTTTGTGCAATTTCGTGAGGTTTTTTGATTATAAAAAAGTTTTATCAGACGAATCAAAAATTCGTCCATACAAAATGAAGAGTGAATCATTGCGGTTCTTTTGAGCTATAGAACTCCTAGAAATGTCAAAAACTGAAAGAGGAGTTCCATTTTTTCTGTAAGAAACTTTCAAAAACCACCATTTATGAAATTTTTTCTTCCGGAAAAGGACCATACAGGATTCTATAAACACTAATTAATTTGTAAAGATTCATTTGAATCATCTAGAATTTTTACGAAATGAGATAAAAAATTCTGAAATTATGGTTTTAGACATGCAATTGTGATCGCTCCAAATTTTTTTCTGCAGATCAAAACGCGACATTGGACTGCTTTCTGGGCCCAGAAATCCCAGATTTGGGAACTTTGGATGTGCCAAAACGGAATATTCCCGAGTTCCTTTATTTACAGTTCCTTATGGATTACTGTATGTCGAAGACGCACACGAAATTTTCTCTTGTGGGTCTCGAGCGGAATTGTTTAGTATTTTTAAAAATGTTTTTGGAATCTTTCTGTCAATTTTCACCTATTTTTCGCGCAGAAGCTTTTATGGAAAAGTGGAATTTCTAATTTTAACTTTAAATGTTTTTTTTCTATGTTTTGAAAATGGAATTTGAGTAATTTCCGAAAACAATTTACACATTTTCTGGATTTACAGATCTTAGAAAATGTATGACTCCGTATTTGACAACTACAATCTTAATGTTGCTTTATTCATTTGCATTTACGTGAACTAGCAGAAATTACTTTTTCAATGAAAAAAAAACTCAAGTGTTATTGAGTTTGCAAACTGCCATTCCCAATATAGTCGATCCTTGCAGTTCACAATGAATGATGTGCCATTATACTGCATGAATCAGCGACCATTGATGCGAAAAAAACCAAAAACGTACATAAGGCAAGAAGATCCCACCAGCACTCGTCAAACTGAATTAGTATGTTCACACAGAATTAGGAAATATCAATCCTTTTTTATTCCAGCTTATTCTTCAAGCCCAAACCATTCTCGAGGCATCAACTCAAGATGGAGTTCTGAGATATGAGGATTTTTCTACGAAATTCAGCAAAGCGGTGAAAAAAAACTTCGAGGTGAATATTGATGATAAAAACCTGTATTTTTTAAAAATTAGTTCAGGTGGAATTTGATCGAATTCACACACTATATGGATGGTCCTTGGCGGATATAGTCGGAAGAATGACATTCAGAAAGCACATATGTTCCATAAATGAAGGTTGAGATTATGATGATTAGTCAACACAATTTTTGAAAAATGTTATATTTCAGATGAAAAAGGACTGTGTTTTGAGTTCACTCTCATCCAGCAATTGGCGACTACGTCATCATCTTCCGAACTGTCGAAACAAGTTGATCATTCGCTAAGAGACATTTCTACTTCAGCAGAAGTTAATCCCGTGGTTTGTAAAGGCTTTCTGGCAAATGCAGGAACCTCGTTCGAGAGTACTCGACTCTCAAAAGTAGAATAATATCACTAGTGAAGATAAAAATTTTCATTCGAATCTTTCAGAAAACCCCGGCCGAATACTCTATGAAGATGATGTCGTGGCCGTGGTTGAGCGAAATGAAGCGGACCGAACGTCGTGATTTGTTGCGAAAATTCTTCGAAAGCGCTGAAAACATCACTCAGAATGACATCCATGTTCAAAGGTGAGTTCATATTACTAACAAGATTAGGTTCGAAATCAAAAGGCACCGTATGTAGGGAAGTTAAAAATATCAATCATGCCTTATGAGTTGTATGTTTCAGAGAAGCAAAAAACCTAGGGACAGACCTGTGGAAAGCATCAATTCCAAACTTCCCACACGTGATGTGGCTTCTTCACGAGTTATCAAAGAGAAAGCCGAACGGGTTCAAATTCCCCATGTTTGAATCAGAGATCAATGTACTTCTTGAGTTTTTTTTCTAATGTATACCAACGTAGTGGCTTTCAGAATGTCATTCCAAACAGTTGGAAATTGATGTGGGAAGATCTGTCATGCGAGGATCTCATTCCGGAGCCTTCTACCTTAATTCTGCTTGATCTTATCATTCCGTCGGAATTAAATGACCCTCAGATAGTAAGCATGTCGGAACAATATATATTCATTAAAATTTAATTGGTAGGTGGAAGTGACTGAACTGGTTAACTTTATCCGGTTCCACGAAATTCGAGATAATGAGCTGTCGTTGATTTACCACTTCGTCGATTCTGCTCCTTCGTCAAAAAGTGCTTTGGAGGTTCACAAAGTAGGATTCAGTGACAAGTTCTCACAAGGGAACCATGTTTAGCCTTCATCTCAGAATTTTTTCTAAATTTGCTCATTTATAGTTTCAAATACGGGCTTTCTTGTGGTGCATTCGGTTTTCTGCACAAATATCTAGAAGCCGAGAAAAGTCCATCTGAAAATATGCTGTTTTTTTGGTCTCCTCCTTCCCTTCCACTTTCCCCCCTTACCTCTAAACATTCTCCACTGTGGAAGAAACGAGCAACAGTGGCCGAGTGGATAGGGGGGACCACAGGTCCTGGGCGCGCATACGCATAATGGATGGGCGACGGAGGACTCGCCGATGAATTGGGTACAGGGAAAGGACGCCGGTATGGGACATATATGGGGCATATGGGGCACACCGCCGCCGCAAAGCATCTCCTCGCCTGGCTTGCTGGCACTCGATGAAATGAACTAAAACGTTGGTTGGGGGTTCCTAGAAGTATCAGTTAAGTTCTATTGTGATGTGATTTTGTTCAGGTCTTCCGATTTCATACTTTTCCTTTATTATTCCATATTCTTTTATATTTCGAACGACATATTACTGATTTTTTGAAACTCAATGTTTTGGTTTTGAAAAAGACTTATAGCAGTTTCCATTTAAATTTGATATGCAATCAAAAACAGAAGAAAATCGGAAAAAATTCGCTAAAAATTGTTTTTTTTTTCATTTGTTCAAAAAATTTCTCACTTTCACTTTTTTTGAAATTGCATGAAAAATTGAAAATTTTTATAATTTACACTTTGTAATTATTGTATACTTACCAACTCACCTTTTACTCCACCTGAAAATACGATTTTTACAATAATTACAAAGTGATATCTAAAAATCTCAATATCACCTATTTTGGCGAAAAACATAGCAATTGACGAGTGAAAGACATGTTTCTGCAAGAATTCAGCGATTTTTTAGTCTGCCATAACTCTTTTTCACAAAAAACATCGAAAGAATAATCGAAAAACCAGAAATGTAGGCTCGAATTGACGAAAAATTGACAAAGTTGCCGGTGTGGATTTACGGTAAAAAAAGCGCGCATCAGGGATTTCGAAGTGTTGTAGTCGGCCTACCGTATCAGACCCATATCGCACACATCGCCCACCCACCTAGAATCCATCTAGGATACGCGCGCATTCGGAACACTCGATTCAGCCTCTTCCGCATCGCACACATATGAGACTCATCGCAGCTCGTTGTTCGCGATATGTGTCAAACGGACTTCTAGAGGATCGCATATAGATCGGGTCCTTTATGTGCATCATCGCCCAGGACCTGTGACGAATAGTAATCACAAGTTTGGGGTTCGATTCCGTCACTGTCCATTTTCTTTTTTCTTTTTTTTCTTTGATGTTGGAGGAATGCTTTGAACTTTTCGAAAATCAAAACTATGTTTGCTCTATTATTTCAGTAGGAAAAAAGCTCGAAAAAGATAATTTCTGAAAAATTCTTGAAGCACTGCTGAAAAGCCTTATCTACTCAAAATGTCAGTCGAAATTCCCCTATTTGATCATATTGGTTGCGGAACTGTTATAAATCAGTCAAGAAGTATGTAAATATATGTTTTCACAATATTTGAGTGCTATTGGGTGATTTTCGAAGGACTACGATTCATTGGAGATTTGGAAGAAATCACTTATTTCGGATTTCAAAACGGTTATAGGCTACAGAATCTTGCGAAAAGACTCATTTTATCATTTTTATGCGTTTAGAATTCATTTTAGCACATTTAAAAATTTTTCGAAAAATTGAAAATTTTGCAAAGGTACCCATGGCAAAAATTTTCAATAAAAATTTTTTTTGAAAAAAGAGGAAACTTTGTCAGATTGTAGAGAAACCTTTAAAACTGCGATTGACACTCAAACAATGCCAAAAAACTCACATTAACCCTTTCAAAAACTCACTCCAACAGTGAGAAATTAGTACTGAAATCACTTAAACAGCCTATAACTCGACTTATAGAAATTTGTGCAGAAAACCGAATACACCACGAGAAATCCCGTATTTGAAACTCTAAATGAGCAAATTTAGAAAAAATTCTGAGATGAAGGCTAAGCATGGTTCCCTTATCAGTAAAAATGTACATTTTCAGTTTCTCTGTGAAACGTGCTCCGGATGGGAAGACGAATACAATGATGCATCTGGCTTGCTGCGTGTTGAAGCCGTTTTCCAAGGAAATAAGAAGGTGATATTCGTCCATTTTATAAAGACCACTTCTAAGCAAAAAACTCAGATGTTCCACGATGAAAACGGCTCGTACACTACCAAACAACACCATAACAAAATCGCTGTACCTATGTGTTTCCTTCCCATCACCAATCGCTACAATAATGGAAATCGTTTTGCCGACGTTTAGTTTTATCCTCTTTTAAAACTCTATATCTCATTTAACTCGACTAAAATAATATTACATTTACATAATGAATTATAATCATGAACGTTTCACGATTTGAAAATGTTGACTACTTTATTGAGATATCTGTGGTTTTTTCGTTGAATCAATGATCCAATCGGCGAAATCCGATGTTGCTTTCTCGATGGGCAAAGTGATGAAGCATAGCGTTTCGGCTGGATGCAGAGAGCGAACTCGCTGGAAAAAAAAACAAAATGGTTTTATGTGTTCAATTCTATAATATATTCACACCCCACACATATCTACTGTTCCAACTTCCACAATTTTATTCTGATAGTTTTCAGACACAAGTTTACCTTGGATAGCTCTTCAACGTTACTTGACACAGTTTTCATAACCACCACATGTTCCTGATCTTCTTCTACTTTCCCTTTCCACATGTATCTGGAGAGGGTTTTCAGGAAAATTGCAATTTCAATTGATGTTTATACATACATGCTTGTGACTCCTGGAATAACATTGGCACACGCTACAAGTGATTCAGCAACTGTAGTTCTGCAATTGTCAACTTTTGAATTCATGTGCTTCTTTTTGTTTCAGGAGATAACCTTGCTAGCTTCATTGCAACTTCTTTACTTGGCGCGGTGACGTAAACCAAAACCATCTTTACAGCAGGAATTGACATTTCTTACTGATTGTCGAGTTTTTCTGCAGAAAAATCTGACACTCCACCGATTCCGAGGAAGGG